CACCACCACCACTTCTTCACACCATCACCGCAATTGACGATGGGTTTGGTGCGGTGTGTGTTTATATATATATATGTATGTATGTATGTATGTATGTTTGATTGAACCCAGTTCAATTCATTTATGGAAAGTAAAAAAATAAATGTGGTTTATATTGCAGTGGCAATGGTGGGTGGTGGTGGTGATGGTGGATGTTGCGGTGGTAATGGTGGGTCTCTCATAAAGGTGAGAAGGTAGAGATAGAGGGGCAGAAAATTATGGGTTTTCGAGGGAGAAGAGGGTAGAGAGAGAACATAAATGATGCAAGAATCCATGAATTCTCCACTTTCCAAGGAAACAAAATACATGAATCTCTCATCCATATCCATATCCATATCAACCAGAAATTCAATCTCTCATCCAATTTTTTCCCCTCAAACTCTCATCCAATTAAAATAAATAAAATAAAGTAAAGGACAATCTTCAGAATCGCTATCAACCCTCTTCATTCATACTTGAATTCAGAGCATCCGAACCCAGATTCAACTCAAAAAACTTATAAATGGGACCACTATCAGAAAAATCAACAGATTTAAAGCTCTGAAATTACTGAGAAGTGAATCGTCAATTGCGAATCGAGCTTGGAATAAAATATACAAAACCAGTTTGAAAAGATGGAGTTTACATAAAAACCTAGAATCCAATTTTACCATAGTTCGAAAGAATCAAATTCACAGCAAATCTGGCAGAGTGCATATGTTGGAAACCTACCTTGAATTAGAGAGATTTGATTAACGAATTAGAATGAAAGGAAAAGGAAAAAAATTTGATTGAACAATATGGAAGGAAATTTTTTAAAAAGGATAGGAAAAAGGGGAAGAGTTGACTGAAATATGCATAGCACATTTGACACATCTATACACAGTTGCTTAAAACTTCAAATAAAAAATAAAAAATAAAACAAACATTGATGTTGTGTTTGGTAGGAAGGAAGGAAGAGGTGTGGAGAGAAAATAGGAAGAATGGTACAAAATTCATTTGTTCGGTAAAGATGATATAAAGAAAGAAAGGGAAATAGGAAGGATGACTCATTCTTCATCCTTTACGATTTTCATCCACCCAAAAATGGGCAGAAAAAAAGGAGGGAAGACGAGTGGACTATTATAGAATTTTTAAATTAAATGCTATCCTAAATTATACAAGTTTTAAATTATAGTACTATCCTCTATAAATTACAATATTATAAATATTACTGGATATAATGGTAAAAACAATTAAAATTTTCTATTTCCTTCTCTCTTGACGAACATAGTAAATTATGAGCTTATTCTCTTCTTTTCTATCCAACCGAACAAAAAGAAGAAAATACATAATCTCTTCACTAGAGATGTCTCATCCATCCCTTCTTCTCTCCCTTCCAACCAATTTTTTTCTTTCCTACCGAACGGAGAATAAAATTTACCCCTAGCTATGGTGGGGTGGCAACCACCCTCTTCTTCTTCCCCTCCTCTCTCCCACTCTCTCTATATGTATGTATGTATATGTATAAGAGGAGGATATGATATATACTGTATATATGTATTCTGGTGTAGTGATGAAGGTTACTTTGGTTAATTAGAATTAGTTAGAAGGTTAAATCGGTAATTTCAAAATTTTAATGGTTCAGTTGACAAGTCAAAGGGCTTTTTAGTCATTTTATTACGCGTCAGAGTGCTCAGGGGTGCCTTTGTGAAATGGAGCAAAGTTGAGGGGGTTTCTTTGTTTAAAAATGGGCTAACTTTCATCTGACTTTCAATATGACAAACCTCAAGCGGTGTGAGTGTAATTAACCCAAAATTTTATATGTACAAAAATGAAAATAGAAAAAATTTGAGAGGAGCAATTAGAATTCTAAAATTCTATATATAAAAATCTAGACCTAGAGGGGGAGATAAAAAGGTCTTGTAAAGCGAACTATGGATTTTTGCTACTTTTTTAATTTAAACCATGGTTCGCCGTAACGCGACGCATCAGCTGTAACGCGACGCATCAGCTGATACGCGACCCTTTTTTAAGTCCAATACGCGATCCGTATCGACCAGTTTACATAACTTTGTCCAAGTCCGTTACACCGCAACCGCCACCGATTCTGCGAACCATGATTTAAAGTTAGATTAAAAGAATTTTAATTCAGTTCGTAGCAGTAAAAAGTAGATAAAGCAATGAACACCGAGATTTTTACACGGAAACCCAAGGGAAAAAACAAAAATCCTAGTCTAGGAAAAACCAAAATCCACCATTTGAAAGAAGATAACAACTAGATTAATTAAGGTGTTTGAACTCGAGATCAACAAGGGTCATTTGGGGTGGCTATAGTGCATGTATCTTTTTTCAAGTTGAGATAGATTTAGCCCATAAATTACTACTGAAACTTCCCATGTGGACCTTATGTACAATTATACTACTTTTGGAATATTGTGTACAGTGTACACTGTACAATTATACTAGGTTTTATTATTGCCGAAGAATATCATTATAGGAGTGATTTAAGCCCTTAAATCACTCCTTGACAAAATATTAATATGAGTGAATCAGGGGAGTAATTTTAAGAATCTTTCGTATATCATATTTATCACATGTTTGTATTCTTTCACCTATAAATAGAGGTTCTCATTGTATACAAAAACTAAGACAGAATATAATGAAAGTGATGTAGCCCTTTGGACTATGTGTGCCGTGGATAGGCAATAGTGACGCCGAACCACGTTTTATCCTTGTGGTGTTCATGTTTAAGTTCTCTCTTTAATTTTTTATATCTTTCAACATGGTGTCAAAGCAAGTTTATCAGACGCTACTCTATATTCTACTTGTCTCGGATTGTTCAGATCAACTAGTCTTGGATTTTCGGATCTACACGTCTCAGATTTCCGAATCAAATCATTTCGGATCTCCGGATCTACTCATCTCGGACTCTCGACAACTTCATATTTAGTTTCAAGTTGGACACTTGTTAAAATCGCTGTGTACCAACTTGAGGGAGAGTGTTGGAGAATATCATTATAGGAGTTATTAAAGCCCTTAAATCACTCCTTGACAGAATATTAATATGAGTGAATCAAGGAAGTAATTTTAAGAATCTTTCGTATATCATATTTATCACATGTTTGTATTCTTTCACCTACAAGTAGAGGTGATCATTGTACACAAAAACTAAGAGAGAATATAATGAAAGTGATGTAGCCCTTTGGGCTTTGTGTGCTGTGGATGTAGGCTATTGCCGAACCACGTTTTATCCTTGTGTTGTTAATGTTTAAGTTCTCCCTTCAATTTTTTATATCTTTCAACAATTATTAATAATAAGAATCAGCAGGAATACACATAACCACATTTAATTTTTCTTTTTTTTTTTTTTTTTTTTTTGGAATTTTGATAAATCATGCCAGCCACCAATTTAATCAGCAAACTGCAACGTCAAAACCAACACTTGCCATCAAGACTTCCTCCTCTTCAGAATTTTTTATTCTAAAACCATCATATGTGTAAACCAACTGCCCATTATCAAGGAAAATTTGTTCACATAGTAGGAAGACAACCAAAACTCCCCAAGCTATGAAAATCACCTCATTACATATAACATTTTAATTCGCTGGCCATCCTCGGGACTAAATTTCACCAAGGAGAATTAACTTCAGCTTCAAAATACACATAGTAATAAAGCTAAAACTATATGCCAAGAACGAGAACGCATAAAACGGAAAAGGAAAACAGTTGACCATGGGCATTCTCTATGTTTTTGTTCACTTCAAAACACAAACATGGATAAAAGAAGTGATTCCTATCACAGCATTTTGTTAGAACACCAATAATTGGTTACCTGCCCAAATTCAAGCATTTTTTTTTTTTTTAATTGTTCTGAAGGAAGAGTTTTTAGTTTTTATTGGAAAGTAGTGTAGATGTAGTATGATTAATCATATTCCATATTATAATTTCTTTCATCAGTGATCCTATTTAGTTTTCAAGAAACCGACACACAACAAACAAAAACAATACGTTCCACCTTAAAATACACTAAAATTGTGTCAACAACTTGAGTAGAAAATGTACACGTAAGAAACAGTATGTTAATTAATTGATCCCCTACATAAAATGAGAATTCATAAATTCACAGACTTGAGAAAGAAACAGAAAAGGAGACTAAACTGTCTTCTAAAAAGAAGCAATTATGTCGAGAAGACAATTATATTACTTGCAAACATAAATGGGCAGTATTACATATATGACATGGTTAACACTATGGTAATCATCGTCAATCAGCATGAAGAATACAGGGGCTCTTCGAGTATGTAGTATGTACCAATTTTAGGAATCCTGTCAGCTGCTTTAATTAATACAAATTGCAACCTAGATCTTGCAAATATTTCAATTTCAGGGAACAATGATACCATTATATAGCTTCAATCTGATTAGTTGTTAACAGATTAATATTCAAATTACTAAGAAACATTCCAGAAATTTAACAAACCTCGATTAATAATAAAATACATTAGTTCAGATATTCCATAGAAATATGGAGTTGGTTACATTTTTCTGAATCTCAAAAAGAAATAAAAATGGCTGGCAGTATCGTATGATTAATGGCTATGCACAATAAATACTCCCAACTTCCAAGTAGACAAGTTGAGCAAGAGGTGATCAAAACAATCTGGTTTGGGGTTCTATTATGTCAAAGAAAAAAAATATATATCATAATATCAATGATGAAATTTATGAGGATTGAACCGCAACTTGAAATGCTGCCTAATTCACTATTTTATTGGAGGATGCTGAACTTCTGTATTTGAAAAATGTTTCAAGATCTTTCATGTAGATCGCAGTTGATAAGTAATCCTCGAGATATTTACTTATGAGGTTTTGCTGTAGCATCTATAACTTCTATACAGCATAGCAGACAGACACACATGAAATTTACTTTTCCACCCCCAAAAAGTACTATAACAGTAGTATTTAAAGATACTACGCACACATTGACCTCATATTTTTACCTGATTCTTGCAATAGTCACCGCAAGGGCAGTAGCTAGGCGTGCATTCTGTGCTGGTCAGTACATTCAAGCACCTCTCCCCACATGCACTATCAGGATCATTGGCATCATATTTGCATTCGCAGACAGCAATGTCCTCTTCTTTCTGCTTTTTGTATCTAGCAACATCATGGTAGAATTTACAAATGCATGTCCATAATAATCATGAACGCTGCTAGCAGGGTGCAAGGAGACAAGGACAATTACAGTATTGACATGCAAATAAGAATAATTAATTTTTCATTTTATTTTAGATTCCAAGTTGAAAGGGGAAAACATGAGTAGATTTAGAATTTAGAATTAAAACTAGAATTAGAAATTCCAAGAATTGAAACCTAGGAATTGGAATCAGAAGTCTAAATTTCAATTCCCTTGATTTTCAATTAGATTCAAAATCAAATTAGGTGTCATTGCTTGGTGCACTCTCAAGCATGAGAAAGTGGTTCCGAATTCTGAGAGTAGCCACTTTGGGCAAAAAAATGCCAAACATAGGATATGTATCCAATCTATCCCATCCAGTCGCCTTGATTAACAGGGACCACACTACAGAATGACCGATTATTTAGAATTCAATCAGAATTCTGCATTGCCCAATTTCCAAAAGTTAGTTCCAAGACAGGAGTTCGCCTTTTAATTTAAAATCTGTGTCGAGTAGATTGAAAACCTAACTATAGACCATTCCATATAATTGAGTGTCATTGCCTCTACCGTCGCTACTAACCACCATTAAGACCCAAACCAACTGATTAGCAGAATTGGCGACGTGGATGACTCAATCTCCATCGCTGCTAACCACCATTAAGACCCAAACCAACTGATTAGCAGAATTGGCGACGTGGATGGCTCAATCTCCGCAACCTCCACTGATGCCCCGTCAACACTCATCTTCGGTAGTCGGTACGATGATGGTGTTGTAGTGGGGTTGTGAATGATGTTGATGAAGCAGAAATTGTTGGATGCTCACAGGTTGTTTGGTAAGTGTGGTGACATGTTCCTCGACGATCGAAATCCAACAGAGGTTGCTCCAAGATATGTACATGAGGAGGATGTGGTAGCAGCTAACATCAGTAAGGTTGGAAGGGTAATAATGGGTCAGATTGGAGGAGTGAAGGGTAGTGTTTGGGACAAGGAGGCAAGGGAGGAGCTGTGATGTTTCCAAATTTTCGCCATTTTTCATTTTTCCGAAAATTTTATCGCAGCAAGGGCATTTTCTTCTTTTACCGTTTTGCGCACCGGGCACTGCGGAGTGTGCCGGTTATGTCTGAGAGTTGTTTGGGGCATTCCATTGAGTTCAGAACTCTTTGAAATACAAGGGTGACCATTTTCGCATTTTTCGTTTTTCGGGCCGGACGGTCTTGTGTGGGACCCGCTGCAGGAATTGTTGCATCCGAGGATTTTAGTTAGATCCATTTGCATCACATGCATTTTTATTTAAAGTATTTCATGTGAATTAATAAGAAAAAAAACAAAAGAAAAGGAAAAATAAAAAGGAAAAGTTGTGGGACCCACTATCATTCTTAAGTGGTCATGAGACCACAATTCTTGGTCTCATTCTCTCTTTCTCTCCCGCTGCTCTCTCTCTCTTCCTCTCAAACTTCCATTTTCTTTTTCTTTTTGCTTCAAGACTTTGAAGCTTGATTTCCCTTTCAATACCTAGTATTTTTGAAGTGTTGTTTGTGGCAAATTGAAGCTCACGGCGAGATCTACAAGTTGATTAGAGCAATTCCTAGTTTGGTGCACTTGGGAATTTCGAGATCTAGGGCATTAACTTGGGAATTTTGGGGTTTTGCTTCAAGTAGGAGGCAAGGGTTTCTAATCCATAACCTCTTGGATTTTTGTGAGTCAATTCCTCATAATTTGTGTTATTACATGATTAATTTTGTATATATTTCATGTAAACTTTGCTATGTGTTGTATAGGAGATGTATTTGCATGCTAAATTGATATGTGATGAAGAACTATGTTTAAATGATGAAGTTTTCATGCCCATTGTGTTATAAGTGATGAATTTTGTGATTAGAAAGCTTGAGATATATTTCTAGAATTCTTCTTTTGAATTAAAGCATGTAATTATGTGAATTAACTGATGTTGTATGAGAAAGCATGTTTAAGTGGTGAATTTCTATGTCTATTGTGTTTGATTTGCTAAATTTTCATTATAGAGACATGTTGGTTATTATTAGAAATTTCCTACAAAGCTTGCTATATTGTGAACACATGACTTGTCCGGTATGTGATTCCCTTTTATGATATTGTTGAAAAGCATGATGCATTCATGCATAGCATTGGGCAAGGAAAAAGGGAAAGAATTGTTTTGAAATGAAAAAAGGGGATTTTTGGGAAAAAGATTTGATGAAATGGTTTTGTGAAAAACCCGGTCGCCGCGGAGCTACCAAAGGGCCGTGGTGTTAATATAACCTAAAGGGAACTAGGGAGATTGCCCTAGCGTGGTTGAGCTATCTGGCCCCAAATGACGCCGCAGAGGTACCAACGGTCAGGGATAGTAGCCAATCCTTCTCTCGTGTCGCCGCGGAGTCACCAACAGACGCGTTATATTAACAGTTTGAAAAGTGATGGATTTGGATTTTAAAAATGGGGAGCAACATTCATGGTATCACATATCATGGCACGGCATTGTTATTTTGGAATTGGAATTAATGTTGTGTTCCTTCCCGGCATAGTATGACCCCGCTTCCTATTTCTATTCATTGTTTGGATTCACGGGGTCACAAGAGGTGTGTCTTAGGCACCACCTACTAAGCTTTATGCTCACCCTATTAATTTAACATTTTTCAGGACATGGGAAAGAAGTGGCGGATGACATCCCACCACATGCCTAATTTGGATTAGAAGATCATTTTGCTATTTTCGTATCCAAGCCTCACTGTTTTTGTAAAACTTAGTATATTGTATTTTGTACGGAGACTTATGGACTCTTGTTATTGTAATTATATTCATGGACTGTAAGTAAATGTAATTGGAGTAAAATTCTAGTATATGAGCATGGAACTATGTATAAGACCAGTACGCCTTTATTCTGGATGAATGGGTTGATGGTGATGGGATATTTTGAGGAGGTTGTTGATGTTGTTATTTTGGGAATGTTTTATATTATTTGCATTGTGTGCTGGGACAGATTAGATAAATTTTGAAGGTCCAAGAGAGGCCATTGCATTTTTATATAGTTAAGCAAGTTAGCGTAGGACCCTTTTTAGCAGAGGTCATGCCGAAATTTTTTTATAATTGGTTTCATTTTAGGGTCGTTGCAGGAGCGGTTGGCTAGATTGGTGGCAACGGAGAAGGTGGTGAGATAGATGAAGTGGGAGAGATCAGGGTACTTGCCTGATATGTGCGGGATTTGTTCCCTTATTTGAAGAATTGTTTTCCTAAAGGCTACAGACTTGTAGGGCAAGTTGTTTCTTTGTAATTAAGGAAGTTGACTCTCACTTGGATTCTATTTTGGAATTGTGATCAATTTGGTAACTTTTTGTTAGACAAGGTATGGGAATCCTTGTTCAAGAAGGAATGTGTTGAAGACTCTATAAATAGAGGTCGAGTTGGGTGGAGAAGGTAAAGAGAAGAAATATGGGTTGAAAGAATGAGTGTTGTGAGGAGGAGAGTGTAATTCCCGAGTGTAAAGATGTAGCCTCAAAAGATAGAGAGTAAGTGAGTAGGGTTGGCATCTAATTGTATATTCTCTTCCTTGATTCATAATAGTGAAAGTTCTCTCTCCATGGATGTAGCCCAAGAGGTTGAGGTGAACCACATTAAATATTGTGTTGTGCTTGATTGATGTATAATTTTATCTCCATGTTGTGTGTGATTGATGATGTGATGATGATATGCTTCAGCTGTGATTGAATGAAAGGGGGATTTAATTCCCAATAACTGGTAGCAAAGCTAATTGGAGGGAGTTAATATCTCTAACAGTCAAGAATGCCTTTTTTAATGGTGACTTAAAGGAGGAGGTGTATGGTTCCCCCTCCGGACTTTTGCTTTTGATGTAGAACAACTCGCTAACGATTATCTGAGCATACAGGGATCATCGCAAATCAGGGACGCAGAAAAGGTAAGGAGAATAGAAGGAAATAAATAAATAAGGAGAAGTCAAAAAGAGATTTGGTGTAGTTGCCAGCAATAGAAGATATTATTCTCCATTGCAAGAATTAAGAAAGATTCAGAAAATAAATAAAAAGAACTGAAATTATATTGATAATGATGATGTCTATAGACTTACATCTCTTGCCTTTATATAGACAAGTCAAAAAAAAAAAAAAAAAGCATGCGTGAAATAATATTAAAGGGAAAATTTGAGATTTGATGGAGTAGAATCCGCCTTAAATCTTGCAATGGAGAATAATATCTTCTATTATTGGCAACTACACCAAATTTTATTATTTATTTTCTGTATCCTCCTTAATAGAGAATAGTATCTTCTATTAATGGCAACCACACCAAATCTCCTTTTGACTTTTCCTTATTTATTTATTTATTTATTTCCTTTTATTCTCCTTACCTTTTCTGCCTCCCTGATTTGCGATGATCCTGTATGCTCAGATAATCGTGAGTGAGCTGTTCTACATCAGTCTCCCCTGCGTAAAAAGAACTCAGCCCTGAGTTACCCAAATCTGGCGGTTAATATTCATATATGTCAGCCACGTTGAAGGTAGAAGAAATTACCATGTCAGCAGGTAAACCAATCACATAGGCGTTGTCGTTGATTTTCTTTAGAATCTGGTACGGACCATATTTCTTGGCCTGCAACTTGTTGTATGTTCCCACTGGAAAACTCTCTTTTCTTAGATACACCATAACCAGGTCCCCTTCTTCAAATAATCTTTTCCTTTGTCTCTTGTCAACTGCGGCCTTGTATTTGGCGTAAGTTTCCTCTAGATGTTTCTTAACACTCTCCTGAATGGTCTTAATGCGCTCAGCCATTTTCTCTGCAGCAACACTCTTCCTCAGCAACTTCAGTAAGGATACCAAATCCAAAGCAACTTTTGGAGGACAACAATACACAACCGCAAACGGGGATTTGCCAATGCACCTGTTAACCATGCAATAGTAAGCAAATTCTGCCTGGGCAAGAGCAAGATCCCACTGTTTTGGTTTCTCTTCT